GCCTTTAGAGTTGTCCAAATGAAGTTCTTAGCAATGTATATTACTAATCAAAAATTAAGTTTTTATATATTTACGGTAGGAAATTTACAAAATATCTTCATGGAACATGATCTTTACTTAATATCCTAATGATTTTTGGCATAAAAGAAAAATCTATAATTTTGACCCATACAATGTATTGTTGGCTATTGCTACAAATATACCCCAGCGACTTAAGACTGCTTTTGTGCTCCAGGGTCAGAAATATCTGTGATGGACATCTTTCTAAGATTCACGCCACAGATACACTGCTCGTTATTCATGTTATTTCCACTGATTTTGCCTTTTTATTTTTTCTCTTTCCTTCTGTAGCAAGGAGAAGATTATGGCTCGCTGTCTCCCACCGGTATGTGTTTGTTTAAATCAGACTTGATCTTCCTCTTTCCTTCTGTTTTGCCATTTAATTCTTTGCCCCACATCCCATTGTGACTTTTTGCTGGTCTTGCAGGCCTCCAGTCCCCATCTCCCTCCCGTGGCCCCAGCCAGAGACCTGAGAGTTACCTCTTCTGCCTCAGTCAGCGAGAGGAGAAGAAAAAAGGTTTGTTTATCTGACGCAGCCGATTGCTGCTTTGTGAGACTTTCATGATGTCATGAATAAACATATGATGCACACACACACACTACCGGTCAAAAGTTTGGGATCAGAACGATTTTTAATGTTTTTACAGGAGTTTCTTCTCATCAAGGCTGCATTTATTTGATCAAAAATGCAGGGAAAAATGTAATATTGTGAAATATTATTATGATGTAAAATATAATTTAATAAATATTAAAATATAATTTATTCCTGTGATGCGCAGCTGAATTTTCAGCATCATTACTCCAGTCTTCAGTGTCACATGATCTTCAGAAATCATTCTAATATGCTGATTTATTATCAGTTGTGCTGCTTCATATTTTTTTGGAACCTGTGATACTTTTTTTCAGGATTCTTTGATGAATAAAAAGTTAAAAAGAAGAGCATTTATATAAAATAGAAATCTTTTCTAACTACCGTTCAAAAGTTTGGGGTCAGTACATTTTTATTCTTTCTTTT